AAACCACCAAACCAATAAAAAAATACATACATACGGACATTTTTGCAATTTTGTATTTTAAAAATGTTATGACGGACCATTTTTGCAATTTTGTCTTTTAAAAATGTTATCTTCAACTACTCTTACGGGGGTGTTTCAACTTTTATCTATACTATACATATATAATGTCATATAAATCTATAATCGGTTGGAAGGAGATCTATGTTAGAGAAATAGAAAGCATGTGCTACTTTTGTCAAGTATAATACAATCAAAGTCATAAAAAAATGCTCTCTTGTCTTGTGCTCTATGTCTCTTCATTTTTTTACTGCTAGAAGGAGAAGATCATGAAGGTGGGATGGCCGAAGGCGGTCGTTTCTCTTTTCCCATTTATGGTTGCCTGTTAAGAATAATAAAGTCGGTCATGAAAGGGTTCTAATCTGGCATAACCCAATCGAAAACTCCAAGTGAAAAAACTACTAGTGGCACTCAACAAGTTATACATTCTGAAACTGATGCTATGAATTGCTATCCATGATAAGTCTGATCATGTACAACCCAAAAGGATGGCTATCAATTTCAAATTATGGAGCTCGACAAGGGTTTGCTCTAGAATCGTGAAATAGAAGCTACAAAATCTCAAGTGGAATTGGTGGAGCAGGTAAAAGATATGCAGATGATGCCATCAAACTAAAAATTCATCAGTATCAAGGTCATTTGATAGCAACAGTTCAACCTACAAATTATATACATGAAGCCCATGATATGCTTTGCATAAACATTGATATCAAGTTCATCTTTGCCACATGTTTGTTCATCTTGTTCTGATCTATGCTCTCTCAAATTCCTTCAATCCTGATCGATCAGTTTTTACTTCGACCCGATCAATCATCTTTAGTTCAGAATTAGATTTTGGTTTATCATTTTAATTTTCAAGACGTATTTGCTCTTGTTTTGATTTTTGTTTAGTGTTAGTGTTTTAGATTTAATTTTGGCTTTCCTAAACATGTTGGTAGCCGGAAACGACCTTGATAACGGTGGTAAAACATAAAGATTAATTGTAATTTTAAAAAGGAAATGATCAACTCACTAGAAAAAAGAAATTTACTACCTTCAAGTAATTAAGTTTAAAACTACTATCAGTAAATACTTTTTACAAATACCACACCATGGTACAAAATTCCTATTTTTTTTTTGGCAATTTTTAGAAATTGGTAAATAGGGTATCTGAATTTGTAATCACTTACCAAATAAAAGACTCGTTGAGATTCAAAATATATCGCCATTCACCAAAGAATGAATGTATTACAAACTACAAATACATAGGCATCTCTACAAATTAATACTCCATTATGGTAGTACTGATTTTTTATCTTCTATCTTTTTCTAAAATCTAACAGTATTGGGGCCAAAACAGTTCATATCCATAACCTTCTTCATTCGTTCTGCTTTTGTTTTCTTTGATCTGTATTTACCAGCCGCTTCTACCGCCGACGATGAAGAAGACGACTCCGCACCAACAAACAAGGATCTGATAGAACCATCAGAAATCGATTTGTTATAAGAAGAAAGTATCTTCGTTTTCGCATGATGGTGAAGTGCCTTGAGAGGGCCGTTCCATCTTGCTACACCTTGATCTTTCAGCGCCTCAACTGTACCGATGCTTGCCACCACCAACCAAGCTTTTATCGCAGCCCCACTGCTCATCTTCGATTCTTCTAAGATCTTCGGTTTTTTGAATAGATAATCTGATTGGATTTTGAAGGTGATTTGGTAGCTTGGTGATTTGGGGGTTGGAGGTGTGTGGTATAAATATGGGAGCTGTTCATCTGTTCGACGACATGCCAGAAACAGGATGCGGGTAAATCAATGGAAGCCGCTGGTTTTAAGTTGTACCAGCACAAGGGAGGCGGATTAAAGACTCTCTTTCCGCGTGTTAATGTAAAAAGGTTTTAGGCAAAAGTATTAATAAATATTAAAAAAAAAAAATTTATTTGCAAAACTCTACTGCATATCTTCTTAAAATCTAAGCTTATTATTTTATTAATGATTTAATACAATAAAATATCTTTTTTTTTTTCAAATTATTTTATTTCTTTGTTTTAAAAAAGTACAACATTTGATTTAATATATTCTATAGTAAATATATCTGACTAATAAGCATAAAGAAACTTATGATTCAAACTAGTTCCCAGGTCTTGTGGATTTTTATAATAATTGTTAATAAACAAATAAATATAAAATATATCTTTATAGGTGACGTTGTCTTTTGACAACTCAAGATTAAAATGTCGTTTCTTACGTGAAAAAGTATTTGTTAAACCCCATATCTAATGTATTTTAGTTCATTTCTTACTTTCAACAACCTACGTTTACTTCGTTGGTTTTAGGCAATGCATTTTTTTAATCCATTTTTTATATATTTTATTTTTTTAAAATAATAAGATATATATATATATATATATATATATATATATATATATATATATATATATATATATATATATATATATATATTTGGCTAATTTCATGTTGGCTCACATTTCAATATCAATTTCCAAGTTGCTAACCCCCACACCAAAAACTTTATTTCGTGTAAATTCACCGGAGACAAGATAAAAACCCAGAAGCAACCTATTCAAATTAACAAAGTTGATTTGTGACCACAGATTCTCCATAAAAAAATTACAAATCTTTGTCAACAAAATAGTTGACTGAGAGCTAGTGGATTTTTTTTTCTTTTCTTTTCTGAAACAACCAAATTTCTATTAAACACTTAGTAAGGAGCTAGCATGAGAATAAACAACTACAAAGAATTAACTGGTTTTTGAAGCTAAGGATCCCACTTTACAACCACTTTACGATTTCCATTACCAAACCACATAAAAGAGAAGTTATCTATGGAACTTAAAACTAATTTTCGTTCATGCTTATTGTTGTTGAAAAATATATTGTTACGAAATCTCCGAATCATCCACCAAGAAGTTAACACGACAACTTCAACGACCATATGCTTGGTCTTGGGTATCCATAGTGATTAAACCCACATAACCAACTTTGTCATGCTACTAACTATTGAAACCAGCAAATCCACCCACCTAGAAATTACATTCCAAGTTCTAGTTGCACTTTCATATTCCACAAAAAGAGATGTCAACGTTTAGTATGCATGCAACACAAAAGTCAAAAGGCATAAGTGCATAACACTAAGGGAACGATCTTATCACCCCACATCCATTTGGAAGCAAGTACTCATCAATGTGTTTTCTAGTGGCATTTACCGTGAAATCAACATTATCGTCCAATTCCCAAACCCAACCGTGCATTTGAGAACTTGCATTAAAATCAGACAACAAAACTCTCATCTCTTCAAGTTGGCAAGCCTCAAGACCACCTCTCACCTTCTGACGCCAATTCCAAATCCACCGATTATTTATAAAAAAAAAAAAAAAAAAAAAAAAAAAAAATCTCATCTATTTCAAGATAGAAAAGTCTATAAAATCTATCTCTAAGAGGAGTGTTTCCCACCCTAAGTATCGGCACAAAACTTCTTTAACTGGGTTTAATCATAATTTTTAATTGGGAAGGGTTTTTTAGTACAATTATATATAGTTTTGGTTTTTTAATATGTTTTCTAATATTAAGTTGATTTAAACCTAATTAAAATATGAGTTTGGATATAAACGTGAGTTTTAAAGTTTGATATATATATATATATATATATATATATAATATATATATATATATATATATATATATATATATATATATATATATATATATATATATATATATATATACTAGCCGTTTACTCGCGCTAAGCGTCGGGCGGCAAAAAGTTTCTTTCGGAAGATAGTTTTAATGTGATGATTAGTTTCCTTTAGAAGTGAGCTATTCATTGCGGCCATTTGATAGACTATTTTGTGTCGAATAGTTCATTTCGACAGATAGTTTCTTGTTAGGCGCATAGTCATACAATACGACAAAAGTTGAGTCTACATCTCAAATAATTCATCTAATAGTTCATACTTGATCTTACAATATATAAATAACAACAATCTGCAACCATGTAGTTTTGTACATTTATAACATGTCCAATATATAAACTACATCAATCTGCAATCATGTTGCTTCATCTGTTAGCCCTGCATTAAACATCAAATAAGCATCTAAGATACATATTTGAAGAAATTGTAAAATAATAATTTGTTGATTGTACCATGTTAATCACATAACACTTCTTTGTACACAACGTTTGATGTGTAGATTCCATCATTATCAAACGTTTTTTCCGGCTTTACTAATACCTTGGTATTGACACCTGATATTCCTCTGGACAACGCCACATAAAGTTGGCCATGTGAGAATACCGATTCTGGTAAATAAACACCTACATTTTGAATTGTTTGTCCTTGAGCTTTATTGATTGTCATAGAGAAACTAAGCTGAATTGAAAACTGCTTTCTCTTAAGTTTGAATGGGAACATCTCATCGTCAGACGGACATAGAGGAATTCTTGGTAAAAACACTCTTTTTCCAGCATGTTGGCCAATAGCTATCTCTGCATCAATGACATTTTGTTGGAAAGCTCGACATATCAATCTGGTGTCATTACATAACCCATTTGAAGGATCGATATTTCGCAAAAGTATTACAGGGCACCCAGTTTTTAACCGAAGATAATGAGGGGGTACACCACTAACATTTAGCGAGTTCAAATATTCCATCGGATATAAGTTATTTTTGTCATCTTCCGCTTCATCAAAACTATAGTAAACTTTTTGCTCGCCAGAAAATTGTTTGATCAACTTATTATTAATCTCATCAACACTTTCATTTTTAGTTGACAATATCGCCCTCGAAATGATAAATTTTGAATCGGCGCCGTTGGATTGCAAAGAAGGAAATATTGCATCAATCAGAGCGTCCACTGAATTAGTTTTATCAGTGTATGGAATGGACATGTTATCAGGTATACGAATATAAGACTCGTCCAATGTTTCCTCCTTTCCATCACCAACTCATAATAAAAAATCAGAAAACCATGGGTCATTTACCGCTCTCATGTTGATATTTAATCGAAGCCTTTTAACTGAAGCCCATAGAGGTGACATTCGTAAGCTAGTGTCGACAATTTGTGCTCGAGTGCCACGTCTCACGACCGGCAACACTTGTCTAAAGTCACCTCCCATAACCATTATCTTTCCACCGAAAGGGAGCTTCTCATCTGTGATGTCTTGCATTGTCCGATCAACTGCTTCTATTGCCTGCCTCTTAGCCATTGCTGCTTCATCCCATATGATTACCTTTGCCTCGCGAAGTATCTGAGCCTTCCCACTTTGTTTAGTGATCTTGCACATCGAGTTATTATCAAGATTGAGGGGAATTCCAAATCGTGAATGAGCTGTTCTCCCTCCTGGCATGTTGTTAGCCGCAACACCTGACGTGGCAGTTGCAAGTGCAATAAGACCACGGGCACGAATATTGGCCAACAAAGCTTTGTACAAAAATGTCTTTCCAGTTCCACCGGGACCATCTATGAAGAATACACCCGTAATATTTTGATCCTCATGCCTCATTATCTCATCATATGCAAACTTCTGGTCTGGATTGAGAGAGTCTCGCGCATGTAAGTCTTCATATTCCACATTTATAGAGTATTCTTCTTGCACCTCACGATAGCCTCTTGATTGTAAATCGATGTGTGCACTGATATTTGGAAGGTCGTAATCACTAAGCTTTCTACTCATAGATTCTAGGAAGACTCTAATGTCGATGAGGACCATATTTTTCACTCGTTCGGCACATCCATATTGTTTCCTATAATCTTCAGAAAGAGAATCATAGTGGTCGTCCCATAGCTTGCGAACATTTCCTGGTTCACAAAAAATCAGCATCGTCGCAAATAACCTTCTAAGTGCGTTGGGAAATTGAAATAAGGAAGCCTCTACAAGACATTGTGATAAATTATCATCGGTCTCTATTAAACCTCTTTCAAGAGCTGCTTTTCGAAATGTAGGGTGTAATACACCATTGGCTGTGTATAAATCTTCAAAGCAGGTAGGCCCAGTAATATGACATAAAAGCAGGCGTAGGTAGTATCTCTCTCCTTCAGCTGGATTAGCATAAACAAGTCGACCAATCATTGATTTATGTTCCCTGGTCCTCCAACAATGGTTGTTCCGATTCCATGTAAAATGTTTGGGAAAATCCTTATACAAATATTTTCTCGCATTGGAATATTCTTTATTCTTCTTGAAAAATGTCGTCAACATTGAATTTTTTTCTTTCTCCCTATCAACAATGTCTTCCATTCTGTCACCGTCTTTGAACCTAACCAACTGTTGATTCGGGAGATGTATTTGCAAGGCCATCACACAAGGGTGGATTTTTGAAAGAGGAAAGCTAAAAACTCGCCATAATGCCTCAGGAGGGGACACATAACGTGTGTCTTGAAACTTTCGTATCTCATTAATAACAACATTTTCTTGGTCTTTATCAATATGGATAACTTGTTTGTCATGGCCCTTATAAACATATTTGAAGAGGTACTTCACAGACTTTATACTCGAACAAACCTCAACGTTGATATGACAATTAAACATCATTAACAACTTTGGGTTGTATGGAGCCACACATCTGTTATCCAATGTTGTATTTCTTACAGTCACCTCAATTCCATTATTTCACCTTCTATATAATGGATATGAGTCCTCTCCTTGTGATGTCTTTTCATTGAATTGCCTAGGATATCTGAAAAGACATATTTTTGGCACACCCTGCATACATGGACTTTTTTCTCATAAGCTACCATAAGGACCGTGCATCATGTGACTTTTGACAAGATCATGCATTTCAGGAAACCTTATTGGGTCGGGAATTTCCGCACACACAAGTTTGTCATAATCGTCTGGATTATTCATCTTATATCCAGGTGTCATTATTAAGAGGAAATGTGCATGTGGCAATCCATGCTTTTGAAACTCTATCACATACACATATGACCCCACCACACCGATTATATGTCTCTGGAATAACTGTACCTTGAGATCCTCTAACTTAGCATGAAAAACTCTTGCAACAAGGTCCGGTCGATCTTGAGCTGACTGTCCAGGCAATAACTCATCATCGATTTCTTTCCATTTTGGGTTGCACGTCATTGTAAGAAATATATCAGGCCTCCCATCATCTTGAACTAAAGCCATGGCATCCAGAAATCTTCGACGCATGTCACGTGGACCTCCAATGAAACTTGTAGGTAACACAACTCTCTGTCTAACCCTACTTGCTTGAGCCTCACCGGCATTGAAGCAATCAACAACGCCCTGGTATAAATCGGCTCTAATTTTGGTTTGGTTCTTTTCAACAAAAACCAAACGTGTAGTCTCAATCTTTATATAGGTATCTACTGCAAACTGCTGGAACAATCTCCCTCCCATCAAAATCACATTATCACTTATAACACTCACAGAGGAATCTTCGTTGATATTTGTTTCGTTTGTCTCCATTGTAGGGCAACTTGTGAGTGTTGTAGGTTGACTACATCCTTCACCGTTAGCTATCCTTCTCATTTTGTTTTTCTCCTTTTTTCGTGCATAATAGTTTCTATTGTATCTTTTTCGATTTTCTACAAATATATTATTTGGATAAATAGTCATATATTATAAATGCAAATATATACTTATATAAACGACATACCTTTTTCTATATCTATCGGGTTTTGGGAATCATCACAGTTTTCGTTTCCCTTATCTACGGTCCTCATTGAACACTATAATGGAAATGTTAAGAATAAACACATATTATATCATCAAGAATGTAACATTTTGTAATGTAGACCATGTGATTTAGTAGTCATGTATGTGTGTGTTTCAGAAAGCAACACAACCCTTAATAAATAACCAACTATACTAAAAACTTGTAATCCAAAAACACAATAGAAAAATAAACCACACATGAAAATTTCCATAGATATCCAAAAATTATTATTTATCAATTCATAAGTCAACATAAGAAAAATAAACCACACATGAACAAATTCACCACAATATGTCTTACATTAATGTAGATCAACTATAAAAGCAACGAACTCATAAAAGTTGTCAAAACTTGAAAAAAAAACACCACCAAATGTCTCACACGGAATTAAAAATTCTTCTAGGCATATTTATGATGTTAAATGCTTCCGACATCCTCGGTTGGAACTCTACGTTGCTTAGTTTGGTTGATATCAAAATGTTCACTGAAAATAAGATAAAAACTATTAAAATATATTATTTAGTTATTTTAATATCACTACAAATATTATAATTTTCTAGAAAAAACTTACTTGAATCCAAATGAACCAATTTCACCCGAGAAACAAATATTATATACTTTCTCTTTATCGCATAGACAGTCTTCACAATCTGATGGCGTGTTCGGTCGGTTATATATAGTTTCATCTTTATTATACTTCCCCTATTTAAAATAAAATATTTCCAAAGTCACCTAATTTTGTTTTAGTGTAATAATAATAATAATAATAATAATAATAATAATAATAATAATAATAAACACTTACGGCCCATCTTGGAGATATAAAGTGAACGCAGTTAACGTCAGTACACCAGAGTAACGGGAATAGTTTCGCTTCCCTTTGATGATTTTTCCAACAATATCTAAAAATAGCGATAATTAAAAGGACAATTAACTTGTTATTATTTTAAAAACTTTAGAATGCTAAAAGTATATATAAGTTATTAAATTTACCAATCATCATTTTTCTCTCTGTCCGATCATCTACTAAACTTTTTATTGAGGGGACCAATGGAAAAACCGGAAACCATGATATGATAGCATCGGCCAAACGATTAAACCGTGTGTTATTGTTGATCTTAATCATCAAATCCCCACGTAATAAACTGTATTATTGATACCTCGGATACTCAGCATAGGTTGGTTTGATTTGGAAATGGTTTAAAGAAAACACACCACCCAATAGATTCCCTCCATAAATAAAACGCATCATTTGTTGTGGAACAACTGCTAACAATTTCTCTCTCTAATAGACAATGTAATATTTTTATAAGCAAAATACTTATGATAAATTATGAAAATGAAAATAAGATATAAATAGTTTTTTAAACATACATTTTGATCAATGAGAACCATGAAGAGTTTGTTTGCTCTTGAGTCCCTCCAAATGAAATCCACACGAACGGGTGTTAAAACATACCACAAATGGTAGTTTAGTAGCAATGAAAATGTATCAACGTAAATGTGATCATTCATGATTCTACCAAAAAAAAAATCTTTCAATTAGTATAGAATTTTTTTTTTTGTACGAAAATATACTCGCCCCTATCGACGATCAATAAAAATATATATTTAAGGCCTTGTGTAGATAGTACTTTAGGTCATGATTCACACAGTATCTAGTTATGAGATCTCATTAAGTTTTTTATTCATGTTTAGCTTTACATGATTTTCGGTTTATGAAAATATATATATACTATTTGACCTATAAATATACTATATGATTATTTGATTTATCATGACCTATAAATATACTATTTGATTATTTAGAAAGCGCTTTGTTTAAATTCATAAGTTGACATAGAATTAATAATACAATAATTTTTTTGTTTCTTACATGCTAGATTCAACGAGATCAATTTGATAGATATTTATCTACGCATTACTTTGTGAGATTGCTTAAATTTGAAATTTGTTCTTGTATAGTTAAAATAAAATAAATTATTTTACTATAGATTATGTTTAACGATTTGTTTAAAAAAAAGTAAATACAAAAATACCATTTTCAAAAACTATAAAAAAGTTATACAAATATTAATTATATAAGAAAAACTATTTTTTTATAAGAAAAAACAAAGCCCTAAAACACAGTCACACTTGCAAAAAGAGACCATCGTCCATGTGTAAAGCGGTAAAGCCAAGTTAATGTAAAATCACACCCAATAATAATCACTCATTTCTGCTAAAACACTTTTTTTAAACATAATATAAAAAAGCCAAACAAAACTATAAAAAGTTAAACAAATATTAATCATATAAGAAAAACTAATTTTTTATAAAATTTAATTAGAAAATACACAAGTCCTAAAACAAAGTATAGAAAGTTGTAGAAAAAATATAGAACAATTAAAGCCTTAATTGAAAAAAAGAAGGTTCTGTATTAATTTCGAAATATATGTTTTAAAATATGTATGAATCAAAGTTGTAAAATACATTTTGATAAAAGTGTAGACAATGTACATGTAAAAACGAAGGATGCTGGAAGAAGGGTCAGGATCCGGCGATAAAAGAACATGCCACAATCAATTTGATAATTAAAAGATATTTATTGATTAAAAATATCCAAAATAAACCAACAATACATATAATCTGAAAAAACTATATACAAATCAATATCATTTAATTTATCAAATTAAACTCAAAAACAGAATGTATGATTCACTCATACTCAAACTCAAAAATAGAATGTCCCAACTTATACATATACATATACAAACCACACATATACAACGTCAGAAACAAATACATACACACATATATACATATTATATACATGTATTATTTGAGATAGAAGAATAAGAAGATTATCACTTTTAGATAGAAGACAGAATAAGAATATCATTTGAAACAAAAGAAGTCTATCACTTCAAACAGAAGTAAGAAATAAAATATTATACACACTTGAAGTTACAAAAGATAGAAGAAGTAAAGAGAACCTGAATTCGTGTCAAGAAACGCAATGAAGCAGTCTTCCCGATTCCAAATCAATGATCCAATTGTCCTAAAACCCTAACTGTTAAATTGTGCTGTGAGAGTTAAAAATGAAGAACATAAATTAAATTTATAGGTGGAATAATCTATTATAGAATAGAAAATGATGTATTTTTGGATATTGATAATCATTCCAAAATTAATCAAATTAAAATCTTTCCATGAATATTAACATTGACAAATATACTTGAAAATTTAAAAATTAATATAATAGCTATCAAAATCCATACCAAAAATATTTAAAATCTTACAAACTTAATAAATATACTAAAAAAGTTTTAAATGAATATAATAACTATCGAAATCCCTACAAAAAATATTTCAAATCATATGAAACTTAACAAATATACACAAAAATTTAAAAATGAATATAATATTTGTCGATTTTATTTTTGGAAATATATTGTATTCTAAAGAACATGCAACATATCGGTTTTATATAAACATCATTTTTTTCTAGATGCAAAATCATGTCAAGTGGTTTCACTTTATGTGTAAAGGAATAATATATTATTTTATTCCATTAATTTTTTTATAAATAAATATTTAACCAAAACATATGCTTACCTGTTCAACATGCTGAGCAACTTTTCACTTAGGATCTGTTTTATTATCATACGATCTGAGACGTTCTGAAGTAGTTCAGCATCTTCATCCTTTGTCTCCATGGGTTTTTTTCTTATTTGCATTTCCATGCAACTGTGATGCCTCCTTCACAATGTAATGTTGGGGTGGAAACTCTTCTCCCATGAAATAATTATCCAACATATCCTTCACTCCAGCAACATATCTCAACTGCAAACATATTATAGATCACTTAATAATCATATCATATCATTTATACACACAAGAATCGAATGAGAAGAAACAAACATGTGCATCAATGGTTGTTCCAGAAATGTGAGGTGTCATTGCTTGATTTTGCATGTATCTCCATGGATGATCCTTTGGAGCTGGTTGAGGATACCAAATAAAGATTAAAAAAACTTCAAAATTTCACATGAATATATAAAACTCAATATTTAAAAAGAACCTTAATTCTTGAAAGATGAATGGCACCAAAGCACATTGGACAAGGCTCACATGAGGCGTATATCTCACAGTCCGAGAGCTCAATTTGGTTCAGCTTTTTACATGCCTGAGATTAAACAAAATATAAAAATTAAGATACATAAACAAAAATATAATAGTCAATATGCAACAAGATCAAGCTCTTGCTTTTCTTTATTTGCTAAAGTAAATACAGTAGAAGATTGTCTTGTTTTTTAACCTTTTTAAGTGAGACAAAAAGCTACTATTTTTGTCCTATTCTCATAGCCCACTGCATGTCATACACAGATCAAAACTGTCTTGTTTTGTTAACATTTTTTGAATGGGACAAAAACTATAAATTTTGTCATACTTACTGTAACTTCAGCATGTGCAGTTGGATAAACAACCACTGCTCCAAAAGGGCCTCCATCTCCACAATCGACTCCTTTGTAAGCTTCTTCAACAACTCTTGTCAAGAATAAGCAAAATTTATAATTTAAAATAAATAAATAAATAAAACTTTTTTAATTAGGATATATATATATATATATATATATATATATATATATATATAGCTATATAAGTACCATGTAATGACCAGCCATGTATTCTGGAGTTCACCATATGTCACTTGATGATCATATACAACCAAGCCAACTAGTTGTCATTGTTCAAGGGGCAATTATGGAAAAATTACATATTTTTATAAACAAAGATGATGAATGATCCTTACCTTTGACCACTTGCTTAATGGATCCAAGTTGATGCCTCTATTCAACAAAACACCAGCCAAATCGCGTCTCCTTGTCTAATCATCATGAAAAAATGGAGCTACATAAGTATGATATCAAAAAAGAAAAATTATAAAAATAATAAGAATAATAAGTTTTGTATAATTGTATCAATCACCTTTAATGTGTTGATGCGTAGGGTGATAGGCCTAGGCTTTTCAAAAGCTTCAATTAGTTCCATAAGTTCAACGGGTGGAAACATCTGAACAAAATGTAACATTATAGAAACAATTGGAATTTGGTGAAAAATACGTAGAATTTATCATACAAAATATATCAAAGATTAGTAGATTAGTATTACCTCAAAAAGTAAATACAACATAACATGTCATTTAACCACAAATGATAAGAAAAAAGAAGTAAACCTCTTGTGTTGGCAATCGAAACTCATCAGGTTGTTCTTTGATGTTAAGTTGTAGTTCATCTTGCCCCTCTTGTTGTATAAGAATATTTGCTGCATCTATAGCTGTAGATTATGTCTGAGGATCATGATCATCGGAATCGGAATCAGAATCCAATTCCGCATCTGAATCTGACCCCTTAACTGTAAACAAATAAAACCAACCCAAAAAGAAAACTAAGAACACTGGGATGGATATATAACAACTTCAAATTGCTTAGTATATATGATTTGAACAATGGAACATAACATATTAAAGTGAAAGATTGTTTTTTTTTTCAAAATTCAAGAATGTCCTTAATGTATTAAGGTGTTGTTTGTTGTTTACTTAACTGACTTAGTGTAATTATTTTTAAATTTTAATAATTTAGGAATTTGTGTGTATCTAAATTCAATGTCCAACTCAAGGTGAGTTTATTTTTCTGACCTAGTGGAAGACCTGCTTTTAAGTTAAGGAGTAAAAATTAGCACCTCTACTCAAGCTTACACTTGAAGAAATTTAGGTTGTTACATCTACCTAATTCATTTTGATAGATTATTGTGTAACATCCCAAAAATACGGTCCGAAAATTTCATTTTTAAATCATAACTAAACCATAGTATTAAATCATTTCAAAACATACTAAAAGAGTTATATAAAAATCAGAGTATCTTTTCAAAACACTTGTTCATTTCATCAGAGTAAAACATCCTACGCTGACTAACTATGGTGTGTGCCATGCGATCATCCCGAGCTCTTCCCTCCGCTACCGGAAGTACCTGAAACCAAAACTGAAAACTATAAGCACGAAGCTTAGTGAGTTCCCCCAACCTACCAAATACCATACTCATAATCACATACTAGGCCTCGCCCCTGCTGCATCGGGGCTAGCCCGACATCGGACTCGCTCCGGCATCAGTCCCCGCCCGGCATCAGGCCTCGCCTGGCATCGAGCCCCGCTCGGTATACAGATATGTCTCACTTAGGCCCCTCCTGTCTCTGGGCCCCGCCCGTTAACATATACTAACATACAATCATAGCATAACACATAAACTGAACATATACTACTGGATTCCTGTTCTAAGGCCTCGCCTATCTCGGGCCCCGCCCCTGTCCTGCTACTGATGAGTCATGGAACCCCGTCCACGCTCCTACTGATAGTGAGATACGGGCCCAGCCCACACTCACTCCCTTCCTACCTTGGGCCTCGCCCCTATTTTGCTGCTAATGAGATATGGAACACCGTCCACACTCTGCTATTGGTGAGATACGGGACCTCCCTACCAGGCACATACATGTATCACACAGATAACAAGTATAATCTAACATGCAACTTTCCCCGGGCTTACCCCGGCATCGGATCTTGATCCGGAATAACAAACACATAAACCTTCCTCAGGCACCCGCCCAGCATCGGAGCTTGGTCCGGAATGACATACTAGCATATAGTGCCTAGGGCTAACCCCCGGGTCTTCCTACTCATAACTACATGGGCCGGCATTGTGGCCGTAGACCTATACACAAAAAGGGAAAACTCACCTCAAACTGCTGAAGCTGCTGATAACCCTCTGGCTGCTGTCCGACAACTCTCTGAACCGCTGCTCCCCGAGCCACCAATACCAACAATAACAATTAGTCTAACTGTCCTCCAGAAGTCAACTAGGTCAACTCTGGTCAAGGTCCTTCTCAAGGTCAAAGTCAACGGTCAGAGTCAACTTCCAGTTGACTCGACTCGCCGAGTTGTTCTACCAACTCGTCGAGTCCATGCTCCTCAAATCCCAAACAACCCCTACTCCGCTCGTCGAGTCTAGCGAGAACTCGATGAGTTCTTCTTCATCTAACACTTCAGGACTATCCTCAACTGACTCGCCGAGTTCATCCTTGAACTCGTCGAGTTCATCATCATCGCATGAATGTCTAGACTATGACTCGCCGAGTTGTATGAACAACTCGTCGAGTTCATCTTCATAACTAAGAAGATTGTCTTGGACTCGCCGAGTTCCTCTTCGAACTCGTCGAGTACCATGATCTTCAGGACCCAGTCTGGCTGAATCCTTTACTAACTCCACTCACTGATCTGAATCATAAACAGAAGGGTTTGGGTTTGCGACCTGACTCGTCGAGGCCATGAACTGACTCGCCGAGTCCATCTTGTGGCATCTCTATTTTGTCGATTACAGACCATCCCAACACCTCCAACTCATATATCTGGACTCCTTATGCAAGCATTGCACGTAAAGTTGCTAACTTTACGTGCATGCAAGGTGTTATGGGGCTAAAACACTTAATCCAAGCTTCAAAGAAGACCTAGGTCATGAAATGGGACCTTAGCTGAATAAAGCCAACTACTTTGAGCTTCTAAAGCTCAGGAGTGTCCAGATCTGTTGTCCAAACCATCCTTAAGGGTTTAATACTCGGTTTAACCTTGGAAATGATCCAAATGTGACCAAAAGCAAGCTAGAAATGGGATTTATCAATTGAAAGCTCAAGGTCCGGACTTTTTACCTTCTAACAGTTGCCAACTCGATGTGAAGGCTGGATCTACACTTCCTTCCTTGCTCCTTTCTCCCAAGCCTTCAAAATCCACTCCAATGGACCTTAATCTTCACCAAAAGCTTCAAAAATGAAGTTGGGTGGCTAGGGTTTTGGGGTTCTGGACGAGAGAGGCTATAATGAACCTTAGTGAAGAGAATAAGATGCTTAAATAGGGCACCAAGTCCCGGAATTAGGGCTTCCTAACCCAGACCTGACTCGCCGAGTCCACTATCCGACTCGTCGATTCGGTCACTTAATCTTGCACCCGGATCCCGCTCCGACTCGTCGAGTTCTTCCTTGGACTCGACGAGTTGACCCCCCTTTGACTTAGGGTTTTCCTTTCCTTTCTTGGCTTTTCTGATACCAGGTGTTACATATTGTTTCAACAGGCATAATCCTTGAATCCAATAATTGTAATTTGAAATACCTTCATCATCGCTTCCATCTAAAAAATCGCGAGCCAATGTATCACCCCCATCCAACGAAATTTCCAACCCTGAATCCCCACCTTCATCACTATCAACACTCTGTTCTTCCAGTTCTTCCTCTTCTATATCAGACTCGCTCAGAATATCATCTTTCTTTTTGCTCTTGACAGAAACAAACTCCTTTCTGTTTGGTTTCTTCTGTGACTCGCTCAGAATATCATCATTCTTTTTGCTCTTGACAGAAACAAGCTCCTTTCTGTTTGTTTTCTTCTGTGACTTTTTGCCTTTAGCAGCCATTGAAGCTACTAAAGAAGGTAAAACCAGATTAGCACAAAAGGAGTCTAGAAATTGAGCATTTAAAGGAATTTAAGTTCAAAAATCATAAAACCCTAAACATCAACATAAAATTCAGGTAATAGAATATGCTATACCAGCAGGAGCTGAGGAGAACAATCGAAATCGCAGGCTCTAAGATAGAGAGACGAAGGTCGAAGAGAAGTCCTCAGTCGCAACTAGAAGAGGTGGAAGGAAGAAATCCCATCCTTCTCCAAATTCTTTGATCCTGTCCCTTTATTCATATTATAGAATTCAAATAGTCTATCCCCCAAGCTAGGTTGACCATCATTTGATTTAAGAAATATATCAATGCACGGAATTTACCCAAAAGATTATCCCAAGCTCGGACTGTGTCATCCTCACCAACTTGAGACTCAAACATAATATCCGTGTAAAAGCAACAAACAAAAAAAACAAGTATCATCAGATATGACAGTAACTATAAAAGAAGAGGATGCATGAAATGGAACAGAAACAGAAACAGAAAGACTACCTTGGTAAGCATTTCCTGAGGTATGATTTTGGGCTTTTTCTTGTTTATGGTGTGCGATGTCTGGTGGCGATGGAGGGGACACTCTAGGGTTAGGACTTGCAGTTAATAGTGTTTGATGGTGGCAGCGAGATAGAGTTAGGGTTTCTAGGTAGAAGCGGGGCTGCAGACGACGACTGAAGGTAACGACAACGTCGGCAGGGTGGCGATAGCAAACTGCAAGTCTTTCACTTTTTCATTTTCTATTTGCTTACACACAAGAATCGAATGGGGGCTTTTTCTTGTTTATGGTGTGCGATGTCTGGTGGCGATGGAGGGGACACTATAGGGTTAGGGCTTGCAATTAATAGTGTCCGATGGTGGCAGCGAGATAGAGTTAGGGTTTCTAGGTAGAAGCGGGGCTACAGACGACGACTGAAGGTAACGACAACGTCGACAGGGTGGCGATAGCGACGACTATATGAGGGTGGTGGTAATGGAAGCCTATAAGAGATTGAAGAAAGTGAGGAGGTAGACGGAATAGATTTGGAAGAAGCTTTTGGAAGAAACGATGGCTGATAGTGTCTAGAGGGTATTAAGGTTTTCCACGAGAAGCTACGACCGTACGTTACAATGATACGTGCGTGTATACGTATACATTGTAAGCTTAATAGATTGTACATGGTGTTATAAAATGTATACCTCTTAATTTTCAAGACATAGGCAATATGTTTAATAATATAGTTAAGATATATATATATATATATATATATATATATATATATATATATATATATATATATATATCCGGTAAGAAATTTTTATTGGTAGGAATATAATAAGTTTTTTTTCTACATATTTTTTTGACGAACAAAATGTTGGTGATCAAGCTAATGGAACAGTAAAACAACAAAGAAATAACAGGGAATAACAACTTGAATAAAGCAGTCGAATGATTATTATTATTGAATGAAGAATAGCAACCTAATGATTACAGTTGCTGTACAGGGGAAATTTCGACTAATTGCTGTGAACTCAAAGCTAAGCTATTTAAACTAATAAAAACTAATAGATAAGAGAAAAACTAGGAACAGTCCTTTTCCAATGGTCATTACTCCCATGTGCCTTGTTTCTTCCTAATTACCAGGTCAACCTTTAACCAACATTTTTCCCCCTCAAGGTTGACCTTTCTTCTTCAGATCTTCTATGCCAATAAGTGCCCTCATTTCAGCAAACTTTATCCTTGGCATTGCCTTCGTTAGTACATCAGCCTTCTGTTGATCTCCACTCACATGTTCCACCTGGATCTGTTCCCTTTCGAAACACATACCAATAAAGTGGAACCTTGTATCTATGTGTTTGCTTCTACCATGGAACACTGGATTCCTTATGATGGCTATAGTTGATTGGTTATCAATCAACAACTTCACCTTCTGTGCTTTCCTTCCCATCAGCTCACTGAACAAATTCCTTAACCACAGTCCTTGACACGCAGCTGTGGTTGCAACCATATACTTAGCCTGGCATGAGCTGAGAGCCACGGTTTTCTGCTTCTGTGATGCCCATGTTATGAGGTTTCCTGAGTAGTAATAGGATACACCATTGGTTCCTCTCTCATCTTCACGGTTACTGTTGTAGCTGCCGTCACTGTAACCTATGAGTTTTCCATCACCACCCCTGCGATACATTAGCCCAAACTCAGTTGTCCCCTTTACATATCTCAGGATATGTTTTATAGCAGCATAATGGCTTTGTTTGGGGTCTTGTATAAACTTGCTCTCCACTCCAATACTGTAGTTTAGGTCTGGTCTTGTGTTGACCATGTATCTTAAACTCCCAACAAGCTTTCTGTACATTGTTGCATTCACGGGTTCACCATTTTCATCTTTGGTTAAGTGGAGTTTTGGCTCCACTGGGTACTGTGAGCTATTGCAGCCTTCCATCCCTGATACCTTTAAGATCTTTTCAGCATATCCCTTTTGTGTGAGCCTTATGCCATCCTTACCCTGTGATACTTTAATTCCCAGGTAATAGGATAGTAATCCCAGATCACTCATGTCAAACATTTGTTTCATTCTATACTTGAATTCCCAGATTCCTTTCTCATTTGAGCCTGTAACTATAAGATCATCCACATATACACCAACTATGAGAATCAAGTTGGGTTTGTGTATCTTGTAGACGGCGTGCTCTTGAGCACATCTGGTGAATCCAAGTGACTTGAGTGATTGGTCGAGCAACCCATGCAGGGCCTTATGGAGCCGGTACACCCGACTTTCCTTTCCTTTAACCGTGAATCCAGTTGGTTGAGTTACGTAGACTTCCTCTATAAGATCGCCATGTAGGAATGCTGACTTGACATCCAAGTGATGTACAAGCCAATGTTCTTTAGTTGCTAATGATAGAATCAACCTTATTGTCTCTAACCTGGCGACTGGTGCAAAAGCTTCGTCAAAATGGATACCCCTTTCTTGAACGTACCCCTTAGCGACCAGTCGGGCCTTGTGTTTGATTACTTCTCCAGTTGCATTCCTTTTTAGCTTGAATACCCACTTTAACCCTAACTCCTTGCGATTTGGGGGTAATTTGGTTAGGGACCAGGTGTTGTTTCTTTCAATCGACTTCAACTCTGATTCCATGGCTCGTTTCCAACCTTCTTCAACCGATGCTTCGTCGCAGGTCGTGGGTTTGTCATCAACCAGTAGTAACTCTTGATTCCTTTCGTATAGATCTTGTATCTCTTCTTCCCCCATTCTTGTCGTATTTTCATAGATGTCATTGATTGAGAGAAAACCTTTTGTCGGTGTGTCGTCATACGAAGCTACATACCCGCTTCCTTCTTGAACTATCGACGCTTGACTTGGAGGTGTTAATCGCGAGCTGATTCCAGGTGTACGTGATTGCGATGAGTCTTCAAGTCGTGAGTTATCTGATACATAATCACCGTAAGAGTCGTTTAACGGCATCAAGGGTTCTTCGCTGACGTCATCTGTTTGATCGAGTTCTTGGGCCGGTTGGGATTGGGCTGTTACATTGACCACAAAATTGGTCCAGTAGGGTGTGGTAAAGGGCTCTCCTATAATTTCTTCCTTCCAGGTCCATTTCCTAGCTTCGCCGAATACTACATCCCTTGCAATTACAATACGCCGATTAGTGGGATTGTACATACGGTACCCCTACGTTCCTTCCTCCGTTCCAAGATACACCATGGATTTATTTCGATCACTTATTTTTCTTACGCCTCGCAGCTTCTTCACAAATCCTACACAGCCGAAAATCTTCAAGTGTGTAATTGAGGGCTTTGATTTCTTCTAGGCTTCGTACGGTGTTACGTCCTTCAACGTTTTTGTGCCCGTTCTGTTCAGCAAGTACACGGAATGCCTCACCGCTTCACCCCAGAATTGATCTGGTACAGCCATCGCCTTGAGTAGTGATCTCGTCATCTCTAGAATCGTTCTATTGCGACGTTCCACAACCCCATTTTGATGTGGGGTGTGTGGTGTTGTCAGTTGTCGCTTGATTCCTGTCTGCTCACAAAATGCCTGGAACTGGTTTGAATTGAACTCACCTCCACGGTCAGTTCTTAACATCTTGACTCCATGGTTGCTTTCTTTCTCAACTTGTAATTTGAACTTTTGGAATATGCCAAAGACTTCATCTTTGGTTTTGATCTAGTACACCCACATGTATCGTGAGTAGTCGTCGACAATTAACAGGAGATACTGATTTCCACCCTTTGTTGCAGGGGAGATGGGTCCACAAAGGTTCGCGTGTATTAGCTGGAGTGGTTCTTTTGCTCTCCACTAGGCCACCTTTTGAAAGGCTTGTCTTGATTGCTTGGAGATCATACATCCTTCGCACACCTGTGATGGGTGAGTTACTCGAGGCACACCTGTCACCATCCCCTTACGTTCCATCTCTTCAAGTGTTCTGAAGTTTGTAACATTCTGTTTATTTAATAAATAAATAGATAAAATTGATGAACGAATAGTCGCCCTAAATCTATATTATTTAGTGGATTGTTGGTTTTGGGGAGCCGAATGTTATAATTTGGATTATTTGGGGGGTTAAAGCGTAATTTCAGGACTTGTTTTGTAGAGATTTTTAGAGGACAAGGTGTGTTTGGTATCATCGGGACTTGATATGAAAGGATTTTGGATGGCTGGGGGCAAAAAGGGTAAATTATGTACCTTGGTTGAAAAGAATTTATCAAGCAAGGGGCTGTTTTGTAAAAATTCGGACTTAATTAGCAAAGGTTTTCAGGGGCAGGATTTAAATGGTAAATTATGGGCTTTATTTGAAAGGAATGAGGTCGGAGGGACTAATAATGTAAATATGGGAAAGTGGCTCATAACCGGGTATATAACCCATCCTGTAAACCCTAAACCTAAGAAGTCATCGACCGCCACCCTTATTTCCCCTGTTTGCGGCCGCAAACCTCATGACCCCCACCACCGGTTGTTGTTTCCTCACCTGCTGAAGCCGGAGCACC